TGCCAGTATGACTGACACAGTCTTATTACTACACTATCAGAGTCAGCCGGAGCAGCTAGAAAGAGTTACTCAAAGCACCAGAGTGCAGAGCCGAGTCAGCAGGCTGTCTGATGATCGCTCAGAGCGTGGAACATACATTACAACTTACAGCACAAACACCCTCTCATCTACTGTCATGGACATAGAAACCCGATGGGATGACCATGATGGGATGACCATGATGGGATGACCATGATGGGATGACCATGGTCGGCGCCCTTTACTGCCTTAGCGCGTACATGCACTGTAGTTTACGTACATGCACTGTACTGTAAGACATGTATATATAACGAAGAAGCAAATCTAACGTTTTAACGGATGACATTTCTTCGTTATAATAAGATCCGTTGAGGCCGTACTGCTTCATATTATGCTGTGTGTGGATATGGCAGAATACTGCAAGATCGTTAACATATCTTCTCGTTATGAATTTTGGACAAACGTTAAATTTGCGACTCGTTATAATAACATGTCTTACAGTAGTTTACGTACATGCACTGTAGTTTACGTACTCCTGTAGAAATGGACCAGCAGTGCTCGCGGCTGCAAGGCCAGCGCCCCGTGGCAGCTTGACTTCTCAACGCATTTCAATGCCCAACAGCAGAAGATCCTGCACTAGTTTACACCGTAGTAAGCTACACATGTGGCAATGCCTGCACAGTGCACTGCCGTAGTAAGCTACACACGTGGCAATGCCTGCACAGTGCACTGCCGTAGTAAGCTACACACGTGGCAATGCCTGCACAGTGCACTGCCGTAGTAAGCTACACACGTGGCAATGCCTGCACAGTGCACTGCCGTAGTAGGCTACACACGTGGCAATGCCTGCACAGTGCACTGCCGTAGTAAGCTACACACGTGGCAATGCCTGCACAGTGCACTGCCGTAGTAAGCTACACATGTGGCAATGCCTGCACAGTGCACTGCCGTAGTAAGCTACACATGTGGCAATGCCTGCACAGTGCACTGCCGTGCGCATGCTCTTCTACGAAGTACTTACAACGCCTGGTGAGCAAATGAACTGAGCTCTCCGATTGGGAAACGGGCCGACATTCATTTTCAGGGAATTCACAGCTGTCGTTGTGGTGAAAACATGACCTGTCCAGAGAAAGGCGCAATAAATATTTTAAAAAAAAGAATACATTCAGTTCAGCACTTGGTCAGTGCTGCGAAGAGGGAACAAGACTGCAGCAGCTCTGCATGCACACAAGAAAAGTGTCTGAGTAACTGAGTGTGAATAAGGATGCAGGCGCAGTGAGTTAACATCATGATCATTGATGGAAGACAACAAACATGCTTACACCTAGAACTACAGCCGACTCCTGATACATGTATAACGAACACCATTGTGCAGGAGAATTAGTTCTTTATAGCAGTAGGTGTTGGATATAGCCTAAATGCACCCACACTACAGTAGTATGTAAGCAGCTTGACTTGCACGTGGCCCATGGCCCATGACTGTGCATAATGAGTATGAGTGCACTTGGTTTACATGCGGCCCTTCGAGATATGGTTCATTATAAACGAAAATTGTTCGCTAAAAAGGGTCACTTTTGTATGGGTTCAAACAGGGACATGGACACATGTTTGCTATATCACAAGATTCACTATATGAGAGTTCGTGATAAGTGGAGTCGACTGACAGTCAGTACTGTTCAGTACGTGTAGGCTTCTGCTCATGCTTGAAGCATTGTGCATACTTGTAGGAGTGTACAGGCCGGCACAGTGCTTTCTTCTTGCCACCGGATTACAGTACATGTACTACATTTACAGTAGGCAAGGTTACTATAACAACTAATAATAATAACTTTATTAGGATGACCCAAAGGCTGACCGCCTATCAACTCCCCATAGTGTTCCACCTGCACATAGTGTTTCTGCATTCCGTTTCTCAGCATACAGCTGGTTGAGATGTACATGCATGGTCACTATTCCTACGAGCATGAGTGCAGCCCGATTTTTAAATGTTGTACGCAGTAGGAAACATATCCGGAACACATGACAATATCATTATGAGTTTTCGGCGCCGGAGATCCCATATACAGGGTCGTGCACTCTTGGATGCGTATTTACTAGGGGTGAAAGTTGGCATTGAGATCCCGAGTTCGAGTACTCTGATTTTCTCCGATCGAATATTCGAGTATTCGAGGATTTTTCATCTCCTAAAAATTGCACACCGTGCGCCTTAAAATCACATGATACAACCCTGATTGAACCGAGTGGCAGTAATTTTTCTCTGGTATATTGGTTGCTGGGTCATTTGGGCTCTCTACTCGTGAACAAATGTTCACCACACAGTCTGCACATCAATATCTGCCGACTGCTGCTCTAAAACTGCAGATTTCTGTGGTAAATGCATGTACCGTATGACCGAGTACTCTGATTTATTCCGAGTACGATTATTTCTGAAAAAACCGAGCGAGTACTCGACTATTCGGTATAATTGTTTCACCCCTAGTATTTACTCTTGATCTAACTGACTTACGAAAGCACAATCCTCCATTGCTCCCATTGCCATAGAATAGCTGATCGCACCTGTACATATACACACACATCAAGCACAGAAATCGAATTGGCAAATAATCACATGGCAAGTAGTGCACAAATCCAACTACAAGTCCAACTATCTTTCACCAAGTTCATAGGTGTGCACACACGATTATAATTATCCCCCACCCCCCCAACACACACATGTACGCACGCACGCACGCACACACACACACACACACACACACACACACACACGCACACGTACACACACGCGCTCCCACCCACGCACATGGATGCACACCCACCCAAGCATGCACACCCGCACACACATGGAGGCATACCCACTCATACGCCCCGCTCACACTCGTACCAGGAAGCAAGCAGGTGCACGCATTTCGATTTTCAGGTCAAGATTGGTGAAAGCCTGGGGGATCAGAATCTCAAATTTTAGCTGATTACTCATTAGGTATCACTATAACGGTTCCGAAGATATATGATGACTAGAATGTGCACTACGCCCAAAAAATTAATTTTTGAATAGGTTGCGTACGCATTTTCACAGTTGTATTTCGCTGTTTTTTTTTACATTTCAGCGACTTTTGCTGATTTCCTTAGCCTCAGCCGCTGGTTTTGACCTGTAAAACCATTCCTATGGGCTATGGTGACCGAGCAGGCATGAGCGGCCAGGTACGTAAACTACCGTAAAAATCCGTGCATAGGCCCCGGGCGTATAGAATAGCGGCCTCGATTTCCTGGGCGTATACTTGGAATAAAAATGTTGAAATTCTCCCCTGGCTGGATAGCTGTATCCATTTCATTTTTAGCTGAGCATGCACACTATATACAGGTAAAACCTGCTCCAAAGACCACCTGGACTCAGTGACCACCTGCTGTGGACGACCGTATTTGTCTGGCACCGTCCGTTTCACGTACATTCTGACTCGCATTCAGCGACCACTCGCTCGACGCGACCAGCAACCGGCTTACAACTGGTACTGATCGCCAGTTCAACGACCACTTCACGACTTCAGTACCCCTTAAGTCCAAGAACTGGCAGGGCAAGGTTGGGCTTTTTTTGTACCTTACTTAGCTGTATGGTCTCTCGAATTCAAATAAACAACAACAACGTACAGCTTCTCTCTGGTTCTGGGTTCTTGTGCTGTCTCTCAGTGCCACCACATACATGTACATGTACATGTGCATGTACTTGTACACTACAGTGCACTAGTGATGTACATGTACGACTCCCCCGGTAAGTTATGCACTTCACCAATGCACAGCATGCAGTGCGAGGATTCATTTGATACCAATATCGCCATATAGGGAGATCACCTGCTTTGAAAGACCACCTGTTTATAAGACCACTTTGGGCTGGAACCATGCGTGGTCGCTGAAACCAGGTTTTACCTGTACAGTGTCCCCGCTTCAATGAACCAGAAACAGTGTTTTGGTTCGGAAGAGCAATCCTGAAGCACATCCATCAACATAAAAGTAAGCATTGAGCATCGGTACCTGTACCGGTATTGATTGCCTGGGCGTATACATGGGCATGGGCACTATTTCGAAACAAAAGTGTTGACTTCCCCTGACTGGGCTTGTACACAGAGGGTGGGCGTAATTTCGAGTGGGCGTATACACGGGCTTTTACGGTATGTGGCGGAGCTACAGCATGCCTGGGCTGGGCCGTGCCACTCTGCAAGCTCCAGGTTCAGCAAGCAAAATAAATATTATTCGAATTTGTCACATTTGACAGTTTTCTTCGACATCGTGGCAGTTTTGTTGCAGCTCCGACTCTCTCCGCGTCACAAATGGGTAAGAGGAAGGCCGATAGACCTTTGGCAAAGCGAAAGAAAAGAAAATTCCGCGGAAATCAGTTCCGCTCTGATGCTGCAGATGCCGGGAACTCTGAAACGCTTACTAGAGATTCCTTTGTTAGATCCTGAATTGAACTCCCCCGATCCGTCATTGCTGAAGCTTCGCCGGTTTTCCTTTGTTGAATCTGATGACACAGTTGAGCAGATTGGTGACGATGTGGACGAAGGGGATGGTGATCCAATGTTGGAGGGTAGCAGGATTATCGAGTTGCACGCTCTTGGTACCGAAACCCGATCGAACAGAGCCTCAGGACTGGTCGAGTGCTCGTGTGGAACTGCAGGAGGCAGTCGAGTGTATTTAGTATTTTGTAGTGTTCATTGTGCTGGTTCAAGATACACCAAGTGTAACAGTTTGTAACCATGGCATCCATAAAAATGGATGGTTACTTGAAGGCTTTTCAGGGAAAAGGCGAGGACTTCCAATTGTTTTGGAGGAAGTTTTTAGTTCTGTGCCGACTACAGAAACAGTCCGATGAAGCAGACCGCATGGCATCGTTGCCTTTGTTCTTGGATGGTGATGCCTTCCACCTATATGAGCAGTTGTCTGCTACCGACAAGGCAAGTGAAGCAACTGTAAAGAAGGCCCTGGAGTCTGCATACGCTATGACGCCGGCGGATGCGTTCCGGCAATTTAAAGCGCGGACGCTACGGGATGACGAGCCTGTCGATACTTACGTCACCGACCTGAAGCGTTTATTGGCGCTGTCCGGTCATAAGTGTTCCGATGACAAGGATATGGTGTTGCTAGAGAAACTGCTGGATGGCCTGACATTAGATTATGGACATCAGGTGCGCATGGCGAGTACGGAGAGAGACCTGACTGTAAGTAAATGTGCTGCCAAAGTCCGTGCACTGCGAGCTACGGATGACTCCAGCTAACCTGATAAAATCATCGTGCGTATGTTCGGTCTGCAAGAAAGGGTCATTGTCAATGAGTGAAGTGAGTCGATTCGGTATGGCACCAGAGCTTGCAATCACATGAGGGACTTACGATAGCTTCAGCAGATATTGCCGTCACGACAGATGGAACATAGGTGCGTCGTGGGTATTCATCGCTGTATGGTGTGCAGACCGTCTAAGCCTGGGGCACACATCAGGTTGTGGATGTTGCCATCCTTTCCAAGAATTGTCCACGATGTAAAATCTGGAATGCTGCCTTGTCATCTGGCAAGAAAAGACAGGCTGAGTTTGACAAGTGGACGGAGACGCACCATGGTACAGGTAGCTGTGGCATCAACACGGCCAAGTCAGCGCCTGCTATGGAGTCTGAGGCCGTTGTGTAGCTACGGAACAGATCTGAAGATACTAATCACCTGCGCTACCGAGTCTACATCGGCGATGGAGATAGTAAAGGACATGCAAATGTCGTTGAAGCCAAGCCACCGTACGGAGATGCACCCGTCGTAAAAGAGGGATGCGTGGATCACGTCCAGAAACGCATAGGGAAGGGTCTGCGAGATTCGAAACACAACAGCGGAAAACTGGCCGATGGGAAGACGATTGGTGGAAAGGGACGCCTCACTGACAAACTCATCGATTCGCTACAAGTGATCATATGGGAAAGCGATTCATGAGGATGCTGGTGACCTGACCAAGACGGTGCCGCGCTATTTGGACCTCAGTATGCCATCAGGCATCCAGCCAGGAGAAGCCAATGCACGACTTTTGCCCCTGTTGGCACTGGTCCCCGGTGTGGCTTCCAACGAATGAAAGCTGCTGGTGCTGAGTACAATGCATACCAACATCATGACTCCATTCCACCCACTGTCTTTGCCGCCGTCAAGCCGGTATACTTACGATTGAACGACAAGCAGCTTCTCCAGCGATGTTCCCGGATGGCCACTCAGATCAATGAGTCACTGAATGGCCATACCTGGCACTTTTGCCCGAAAGAATCGTTTTGTGGCCCTGCCACAGTGGAGGCAGCTGTTTACCTGACTGCAGCTGTTTACCTGACTGCAGCTGTCTTCAACCACGGGGGCAAAGCTGTCATCCCAAAGGTGTTGAGCGCAATGCAGTGCAATGCTGGGCACTACACCAGGAAGTCCCTTGCCTTGTCAGATGAGAAGCGACTGTATGATTCTGCCAGGAAGAGCTCTGACAAAGAGAAGAAGGCGAGGAAGAAGCGAAGGGCTGTCAAGAAAGGTTTCATTGATGCAGCAGCTGAAGCTGAAGGAGTAACCTACTGCTCAGGTGGATTTTAGTCTCAGTTTGGATTTGGAGTGCTCTTTGTTGTGCGTTTTTCAGGTGCCGGCTGCACTGTGTCGCAGTGTTTGGTGGGAGAAAGACTGAACTGATATGTACAAGTACTAAGTAGTACATATTATATCTTCAATGTGTTAGGGACTACAATGTGAACCTATTTTGGAGTTGATATCTGGACTTTTATCTCGTATATTGCTACTTTTTTTTCCAGCTGAGCCACCGCGATAACAGCTGTCTGGGTGTGGTTACTTTTATTTGTACTTGTTGGAGCAGGCGCGTGCACCGTATGAGTTTTTTGGTGTCTGGAAACCACCTTTTTTCGGGCAATCTTGCCAAAGGAAAAGCATGCCTACGCTCGTACTGGATTGGTTATCCTGCATACGCGTCGATCGACGGGCAGTTTACAGTACAGTGACTATGTCCTTATTTCGAAGTGAGAGAGAGAGTTGCTTTGCATGCAGTTCGAAATACAATATTCTCTCTTTCTTCAGTGGGGAGTAGCCACAGAGAGATCGATCTCTAGCTCTGGTTCGCTCCTGGATTGGCGATGACGTTCAAGAAATCCGTTTTGTCTCGAAATTTGAGTCAAGCACGCGCGATGCAAGTCAGTTCAAGGATATGATTGACGATATCTCCTTCCAAACTGTTGACTCAAATCAAGATGACAGCCTTTCGTTCTCGCTCATGTGCGCAGCAGAGATGTTCGTCAAAAACGTTGTCGACTGGAAGACGTAAAAATGTGCGTCCATGATCCACTTGCGCTGCTTCAGAACGAAGCGCAGCTCCGGCCGCGACTCAAGGGCTCGGGGCTTCGCTTTTCTCCCGCGAGCTTCCATCGAAGCAAGGTCCATAACTCTTTATTGAAATCATGTGGGACATTGCCAATACATGCCGAAAACTTCGTCATAACAGAAAGAAAGATACGTTGAAAGTAAGCAGTGTTTTGATGAAACAAACATGCCTGCATGGAGTGGATTCGTAAAGTACCATAGACATACTTTAGTAGTGTTATACTTGTAAGCAAGAGTTCATAACCCCCAAGAGTGTGCAACTCCTGATCAGTCCCTGTATGGAAGTCCGCTCGGCGGAATTCCTTCATTGCGTCATTTTTGGTGCAGTGCGATGAGTCACGCCGATGAATTCTTCTAAAATTTACAGTCAAACCAGGATGCTTCCCCAGGGTAAACTGCCTAAACTGCGATTCTAGTCTGAGCCTCAACGGCTCAAGAAGCAAAAGTGAAACAAAGCACACGATCCTAAAGACAAAACTATTTATTTTTTCGATGCAATGGTGACTCTTCATCGCCTTCTTCTTTCACCAGTGCAGTCAGTCTCTTCAAGAACAATTTCTTCCCCAGGCCATCGGCATATTCCCGGTGCTTTCCTCGAAGATGATTTCAAAAGGTTGAGGAACTTGAGAATACGTCGAAGGAGCATTTTTCGGCTGAGTTGCACAGCTATCAGAAAGAAGAAAGATTGTCCTCGACGGCAATGCAATATTTTTAACAGCGTCCTCACTTCTTCCTGTCGCGATGTCGACATGTCCATGGATTCTTGGAGAAAGAGTTTTGTTTTTGAGAAAGTACGACTGGTACATGTACGTACGTCCGAAATGTCTTCAAAAAAAGCTTCGAAAAGTCGAGGCTACAGCCTTGAGTTAGGAGCAGGTTCAGGGTATAGTTTCCAGAAATCGCAAAGAACCTAAATTTACCTCGGATGACAAGCTGCGCATGACGTAATGTAGGAATTTCGCCGAGCGCTGGGTCTATGCCCGTTGCACACTCTTGGGGGTTATGAACTCTTGTTGTAAGTTATAGACTGTAGTGTATACATGTAGCCTGGGCGGCTAGGCCTATAAAACTTTTACGTGTTCAATATGACAAACATGTACAGTGTATATGAGTACATTTTAAATTTGCACCGTCTTTGCAAATACTTTTTGAAGTGCTGGTATGTAAAAGGTAACCCGTACCCGTTTTTTCCTGCTACCGGTTATACATGTACATGTAGATCTACCAACATTTCCATGTAACACCGTCCCCTCCCGAGCCCTCCATTCCTCATTACTCTTATTTCTGTCCTTTCTACCCCTGTACCTGGTGCCCTCTCAGACGCGTTTGTGCCGGCATGATCTGATGATAGCAGTCGGACGAGCCCCGCATCTCATCAGCACCAGTGTTCATTGGTGCCCTGCACCCCTGATCTTGAGTCCCCCCCCCCCCCCCCCCCCCCAGTCTCCTCCCTAGCCCTCGCCGTTATCTCCGACGGGATGTTCGGGGGATGCGCATGCGCATGTGCACAAATACATACTTATACAGTGGGTCTCCAGAAAAAAATTACCAACTCTAGAAACCCCCCTTTCAAGACTCGGTGCACGCCACTGTGGAGTGTTTGCTTTGTTATTTTAGCTTCACTTTGTAGCCGTGGGCCTTGTCCAGCAGCAGTCAATACTGTTTCGGACCTTACTTGATTGCGAAATAGTTGCAATCTGCCACACCATTTTATGCAAGTAAAATGTGCGATACTGCGTTTTTCTATTCCAGATCTGGAATGAAACAATCATGTCATTTTGTGCACTTCGAATCAATCACCACCTTGCCACATATCCCGGGCAAGCATGTACACAATTTGGGGAGAAAAAGAGTGAAAACTGACAAAGTTATGCCAGTTTCCATGTGCATGCATGGTTTACGGAGAGACTGCCACCCTTAATTTTAAGCAACTTACATGCCACAGTTGGGACCGTATGACCCAAAGTCCTCGCATGTACACGTGCCCTTGACATCGTGACATGTTGCTCCATGTCCGTTACATACACACGCTGCAAGTGGCAGACAACGCAAACACAACACACTCTGACTCATGTTCTCAAAGCTCATAGAAACACGTTTTTAATTTTTTTTGCAAAAGGTACATGTAGCACTGATAAGCTTGAAGAAAAGGACAAACAAAAAAAATGAAATCCCTACACCTTTTTTTTAACAGTGGCCCCAATGCTCTGTTGTCCTGTATTAGTGTCTGGCAACTGATTTTGAAAAAAACGTGACTTCATCATTTTGCACCATTTACTAACGGCTGAATCTCATGACATCTACTTGCACAGTGAAAAAATCAACAACAACAACAACAACAACAACAACAACAACAACAGCAGCAGCAGCGGTGGCGACAGCAGCAGCAGCGGTGGCGACAGCAGCAGAAACCGAAGAAGCATGATAAGGCTTACGTCGACAAGCTCCATCGGCACGGTCAGGACGACCAAACATACCAGAACGGCATCGTTCACAGTGCTTCCCTACACATGCACATGCACAGGCATAAACATAAACACAGACACAAACACACACATACACACACACACATACACACACACACATACACACACACGCATACACACACACACATTTCCCGGTTATTTCTCCTGCGCAACCCTGGTTGTATCTGAGCTCCACACATAAATACTCGAGAGGAAGCTAACCCACTGCAAGTGGTGGACAGTGGCACATGTAGCAATGCCAATATCCGCTAATTTGTCCTGGACGCTGCACCACAATACCGGAGCCCAAACAACTACTACTGACTGAACAGTGCACACAGAGGCCTCGACCCCGGGTAGGCAGAGCGCACCCCAGGCAGGCAGAGAGCTGTGGGTAAGAGTCCAGAGGCAGAACTCAAAAGTGTAAGCTCCTCTCAACGAGCACGTACGCATACATATATACCCACCCACACCATGCCCCCCCCACATCCACACCCAACACCCACACCAGTATCCTATACACCGGTATTCATTGCACTGCATAGAATTATCTTACCTGTAGTCATTTCGGAGCAGTTTGTACAGGTGTCAGACATATTGCAAGTTGAGCGTCCATTACACTGACACACTGCATAAAATATAAAAAATAAACCATACACATGCACACAGTCATCTACAAACGAAAACGAAAACAATACACAACTGAGCTTCACCTTCTGCAAGACAAGGCCCAGTAGCTCCGACACCTACGCACACTAGTAGAGCGAGGAATACTGGGAGTTTGCTTAGTTTGCTTACCAGCTACGATGATGCTTAGCCACTTGATGCACTTTGAATTAGTATTTTCAAGTTGATAAGTTCCCATGCGGTGGTCTCTGGCTTTAATACTTAAGACTTTACACATCCGTAGCTACCAAACAATAACCCTGGTTGAACTCCAGTGTGTACCGCGCACTCAGTCATCATCAATATAGAAAACCTGCTTATCAACCCAGAGATATTTGATTGACCGCAGCGGCAGCAGCAGCAGAGACAGCAGCAGAGACGGCAGCATCAGCAGCATGGCGAGTGGCATTGGGTACGAGCAACTTACGGGGACACTGCGTATAGCTCCAATTTCCTGCAGCACACTGAGGTTGTGCAAGGCTGGTGTTAGCTGGTGACAGCCATGAAGTGCTGTTGACCAATACAGGACCAAGTGCACCGCCAGCACTGCACCTGCCAGAGCCCGTGCCCGAGCCATCTTCACACCAACCGCAGCCCGGTGCTTCCAGACAAAGCGAGCAGTTATGGTATGATGAGCACCGATCCACTGGAAGTTAAGCACCAATACAAACGCCACACCAGGAAAAAGACATTGGTGTCAGGCAATGTAATCTATCCTATTGACAAAAACAAGATCAAGAACAAGCACACTCTCAAGCAGCATCTTGGCTACCTCATTCCGCACAACGGCAGGAACGGACTTGCTAATTCTACAACTCTTGCACCCCCCCCCCCCCCCACACACACACACTATTTAGCCTGGTCTACACCACACAGCTACTAGAAGTGGCCTTTCTTGGCCAGGGAATCCTTACTTCTCGGTCTTTTTAATTTTTTTCCCCCGCACACACATCACACCACATACTCCAGTATGCAAGGTTACGAGAGCAGAACTTCCGACAAGACACTCACACACATCAAGGGGCACATATTCATACTGTTTAAAATAGTATATTTAGGCCAAAACAAAAAATAGGCTTGTTTCCGGTCGGCAACCCCTAAAAAAGGAGACTCGGTCGGCCGGATTGAAACTTTTTTTGGATACTTTTTTTTGGTTCCTCAATCGTTGTGGTATTGATGGACAAGAGCACCTACACATGTACATTGTACCTAATATCATGGCAAGGATCAATGTCAAAGTTGACTGACTCACTGTTCTTGTACAGCATGTGGTGTATTCCTGTTTTCGTACATCCTGAGAAATCAAGCAAACAGTTAGAGTCCTTCCAGCTCCGTTATTCTAGCTCGTATCGACCCTGGAGGTTTTCGAGCTGACAGCTGAGAATCTCTGCTACCTCGTAGGTGTTTCGATTGTGGAATTCGGTTGAGATTTGACTGAGTTATGACTCGTTGAGTGCACTTGCACACATGGCATTGCCACCGTTTGTATACATTTGGGACCAAAAAAAGTTTCAGAATTTGGGAAAAAGTGGCCCGGTCGGCCGACCGGAAACAAGGTCATAATTTGTTTTGGCCTTACATTCCTGACCGGTTTCTGCCGTTAGAATGCTTCATACGGCAGAGAATTTCGCTCTGCATTTTGGTTGGGTCCAGAAATTTCTGGAACCAACCAAAATTATTTGTATCCCTAGCATACGGTTCACGAACTTGTGAACTGTAACATTTTCACGCATTAAACTCATTGCAGCTTTTTCTGTACTCAGCCTGTAATGTCTACTGTCTACTGTGTATGATAAGCTAGTGCTGTATCACTTTCCTTTCAGCCTCTGATGAAGCATTCTAACTGCAGAAACCGGTCAGGAATGTAAATATACAATTTTAAAACAGTATGAATATGTGCCCCTTGATGCGTGTGAGTGTCTTGTCGGAAGTTCTGCTCTCGTAACCTTATGCATACCACTGCACCGTAT